AATAATCGCAAAGCAATCGTATGAGACGATTTGCCAAAGTACGGCCAAGTTGTCCCAGGTCATTAATTATAACGTACTGTTGTAAATTTCCAGGAAATGTAAATTGTAAATGAGTGGTATTGTCTTGAATTAATTTCAAATATTCACTGAAAATATTTTTATTCTTACGTTTATTTAGTATTCATGTCATGAACGTTGAAATTTTCATTTATACAGCCACTGTTCTGTTGTGAATATTATTTTTCAACAAAAATATAACAATTAAAAAAATTCTCGATCATTCATTATTACGATTTGCGTTTGCTTCCAAAAATTTCAGTCTGTATAATTCAGGTGTGTTGTCACTAGTATCGGCAACTGCTGTCGAGTGAAACGGCTCGTAGTTGGTGTACAATTCAAGACGGAAACTAAATAAAAACCGGAAAAGTAAAAAGGAAAAGCAAGCCAAAATTATGTCTTCGTCTGCAATTTACATACTTGATCTCAAAGGAAAGGTGAGTTCATTTCAGTTCTTTTATGAAACACCTAAATATTCCATAGAATCCCACTGGTTCTGCTTAAACGTTTTGAAACAATTTTCATTCATATAATTTTACTCATTATGAACAAGTGATTTGCTGATTATAATATTATTCACCCGATGAAAGTAATCGTATTCAGTGGATAATTTAGTTTTCATGATAATACTTATTCGATAACGAGTTTCAGTTGCTGATTGATTGAATTACTTTTGAAGTGTTTGAAAAATCTCGTATAAAATGAATTGATTTGTAATGATTTGAGGTGATCATCTCAAGAAACTATCGTGGTGATGTGGATATGAGTGTTATCGATAAGTTTATGCCGTTGCTAATGGAACGAGAAGAGGACGGGCGACAGAGTCCGATATTGGACCATCAAGATGCAACGTTCATCTACATCAAACACTCGAATTTGTACTGTTAGTTGCTTTTATTCCGTTTATTTTGCATTTTTTCATTTATTTATTTATTTATTTATTTATTTATATTTTTATTTATTTATTTATCTATTTATTCGTAATCAGAGAAATGTGAAGAATGTGAAATTTCAGTCGTCTCAACGTCAAGAAAGAATGTCAACGTCGCATTGGTGTTATCGTTTTTGTACAGATGTGTGGATGTGTTCGGTGATTATTTCAAGGATGTTGAGGAGGAATCAGTACGTGATAATTTTGTGATTATTTATGAATTATTGGATGAAATGATGGATTTTGGCTATCCGCAGACGACCGAGGGAAAGATTCTTCAAGAGTAAGTTAACAATAAAATGTATTTTGTGACGAATATTTTCTTTGAACAAGTTTAGTAGAGACGATCGTAATTGTTCGTTGTTCTCATTTAATTTATTGTCAATCGGTATCATGCACATGATTTGGTAGCGCACAGTTATTGAGGATTTATTGAAGATTGTTAGTAGTGAAAGTATTTTGCAATAGATTAAAAGACTTGCATTGTTTGCTCATAGTAATTACTGATTATAACCTCCTCAATAAAATACTCAGATTCATCACTCAAGAAGGACACAAACTCGAAGTTGCCCCACGTCCACCGATGGCCGTCACAAATGCGGTCTCGTGGAGATCTGAGGGTATCAAATATCGCAAAAATGAAGTGTTTTTGGATGTGATCGAGTCTGTGAATATGTTGGTGAGTTGTTTTTTCCCCAATGGAATCTTCTCAGTTTCTCATCTACGAGTCACATTCTTTGGTGGCATTTGCGGGTATGCTTCGTAATCGTTTTCAATTGTTTATGGACTGAAAATTTTATATTTACATCGTCTATAAGATATTGAATTCATCAATAATACTTTCGATATTTGGGAACCAAAAGATTTGGCTGTCTCATTGTAAGCAGTGGAGTAATTTGGTTTTCTTTTTTAGGCGAATGCAAATGGTAACGTGCTACAAAGTGAAATAGTCGGGAGTGTTAAAATGCGAGTATATTTAACGGGTATGCCAGAGCTGAGATTGGGTCTCAACGATAAGGTGCTCTTCGAGAGTAGTGGAAGTTAGATTTTTTATTTG